TAGGTGCAGAGTAGTGCACCTGCAGCTTTCCTGTTGGTTAGCTGTGGTTTTACATAGACTTCTATTTTATTTTGGGGGTGTGGTGCCGGTTTGGTGAATGAAGGAGTTTTGGTGTACTTTCAGAAAACACACCAAAGCTGCAAGATATAATAGAAGTCTATGGCTCAGTGCAGCTAACCTGCAGGAAAGCTGCAGGTCCACTACGCTGCACCCACGGATCAGTGTGAAAGCAGCCTCATAGCTGTTACCCTTTTAATAGGTGCTAATATGTCCATTGAAAAACTCAGTGTATGTGTTGTTTATTATACTGACATTCCTTTCCTCTTCCAGCTTCTGCTGGCATTACTTTCCAGGATGCTAGAAAGGACCCAGGTGAAGCGCACTTGGTATCACTCTGCCTGGGACAGGAGCCAGTGCTTCAGAGGAAGCATTGGCTTATGCTGCTCCTGTTCCCTCCATGGCTGCTTGCTTCCTCCACTGCTGCTGCTGGCTTCATGCACTCTGATGCTCTGGGATGGCGGGTCAGCAAGCCCATATCGTGATCAATGGGGTGCTGACCCCGGGCATGCACTTCCCCGGTTTGAGGCTGCGAGCCATATAAGAGGGCTCCAAGGGCCATGGTTGAGCACCCCTGATGTAAGCAAAAGTGTAGTCTGGATTCAGGTAGGAGTCGGTAATAGGTGAGCAGATCAGAAGCAGAAACAGCAGGCAGAAGTGTGAATCCAAGTACAAGCCAGGATCAGTGCAGGTGGAGGTCAGGAATGGTGAAGGCAAGCCAGGTCGATAACTGGGAATCAGATACAAGTAGCTGATAGCTGGTCTCATGGAAATGCTGTAGACAAGACAGCACTGGACATATGCAACAGCTTAGTTTAATTAGCCCGCTTAATGCCAGAAATGGTGACAGATGCACAAGCACACGCACCTTCTCTATGCACATATGAGCAACAATGTGCCATCCTGCACAGGTATACGCCTTGGGACATCATTGTGGATGTTGGCATTCCCTTCCTGACATGTACATTTTTCTCACTAAAGCCCCGTACACAGGAGCCAAGTATCGGGTGGTTCAACAGAAACCTGATGACATTGCGCCTGTACCAGTAGAATTTCATTCTAACTTTCATTCAAAATTTTGAACAAATTGTTTGTCGGAACATTTGATCTTTCCTTCATTGGGTCAACTAATTTAATTCCAAAGCCCTTAAAATTTAATCCAAACCTTCTACTTGAATGAAATACCAGACATTAAACAGGTTTCTTTCACTCCTAGCACAAGTGTTTTACAATATGTTTTCCTGAATGGAGATCACATTCACAGTTAGAATTGCATTCCCTCATAAGAAACAAGAAACATTTTCCATCCTGATCCTTCGAATCTTCTTGTTACTACAGTCAAAAACATTAATTGGTTTACCCCACTAAGTATTAGAAAATCAAATAAGGATTATGGAAATTTTGAAAATTCCAATGGTGTATGGCCTGCTTAAAACTAAACATTGTGGTGTTTAATTTGTTACTGGGTAGATATACAGGTATTTCAATGTTGGTGTTGAGATTAGTTAAGAAATGATAAGAGATGATAAAAGATCTGGTAATGGGAGCATCACATTTTGGGTTAAAGAAGCTGTTTTGCGTTGGGAATACAAACCTAATCAAAGAGTTTTTTTTATTATCAGGGTGTATATTGGATACATCAAAACACCTACATAAAATTAGAATAGTTTCAGGGTGCAGTGGCATATCGTTGGGGGGCAGCCGGTGCGCTCGCCATAGGCGCACAGAGGGGCGCAGAAACTAGTCCCATGTCATCCCAAGTGTGCTGGGTTCGATGCAGGGCTAGCACCAGTATAAGGCAGCTGGTGCTGTGAACTTCAGCCCAGGGCTGCCAACAGGGGGGTACCTGTAGAGGGCACCGACAGGGAGGGGATCAGTTCGGTGGGTGGGGGTTAATTACAACACAATTACTCTCTCCAGTAGCTGAAAGCCCTCACTCCCTTCCTCTAGCTTTCAGCTGCTGGAGGGAGAGACACACAGAGCATCAGTTACTGTAATTAACCCCTGCCCCAGTGATCCATTCCCCCCTTTCTGTCCTGCCTACATTGGAATCCTTCCTGTGTGCTCCCTCTGTGTGCCCGGGTCCCCCTCTGTGTGCCCAGGCCCCCCCTCCCCTGCAGCTCTGCCGGCTTCACTGTCCCGCCAGTGGCTGTTGGTACACAGGAGCATCTGTCAGGATGGAGAGCAGTGGAAGGGGTCGGTATATTTTTCCATTCTGACAGTGAATGAATGAATACAGTGTGCGATTGGTAGCGATCACTCCGGTGTCCATTGATAACTGAGCATAGTAAACTATGTTTACTATGCGGCAGTTTATTAAGGAACAGGAACCTCTGTCTGCTGTTCATTCATCAGCAGATCAGCCTACAGAGAAAGGAATTAAAGAATCTGTGTCCTCTATTCCTTCTTTCTCTGTCTCAAAGTTTCTGTTTAGACCCCTGATATATCACCAAAGACAACCCCACCCCCCCGAAATAGCATTGTAAAAAAAATTGTGAAAACATTTTTTTAAAATAAATTGTAAAACATTTTTAAACATTGTAAAAGAATAATTTAAAAAAATTCTACAAAATTAATGTTAAAAAATTGTCTAAAATCATTTAAAGAATGTAAGGGCTCATTCACATGGGGTCTTTGGCCCATACATTGTGAATGAGCATAGAACACAGCCGCAGGCCCTAATTTGTCAGGTGTGCAGGTGTGGATGAGTGGATCTAAATGCATACTGTCTGTGTTTGGAGCCAAACACCTGTCAAATTACGACCTGCAAATGTGTTCGTACAGCTACTGTGTCCCCATAGTGCAAGGGACTCAGAGAGTGCTAAAAGTCCACAGGTTAGGGACGCAAATTACTTGTCTTGCCCCAGGTGCTGACAACCCACGCTACGCCACTGTCAGGGTGTACTGTTTGGCGTCATGTGACTGGTGACTGTTGTATAGGAAACTTTGGTCTGTCAGACAATCTTCTTTTGTTCTTGTATTTTCTCTTCTACATACAGATACCTATACTGTATATCCTGTTGGCAAAAAGATGCAAAATTATTCTAATTTTGCATCTGATTAAAATAAAAATATTTTCAGGTGATTTTTTTTTTTACTCTTGGCAATATTAAAGAAAATATTTACAAAACTAGCATTCATTCCATTCAAACGTAAAAAAGCTTGTATTATTAGCAAGCATGTTTTTTGCATTACAATTACTGCAGTGTTTAGGTGACAGTCATTTTCAATGGAACTTACATATTGTTACAAACTTGCTCTTAGGTTTTTTGGTATTGTATTTAATATAATAAAACAAAAAAAACTCTTAGCGCCGAAAAAGAAATTTGGGCAGCTGCACTCAATAGTTGCCAGAATACAACAACAAATACAAACTGAATAAAGAATAAATTGCACTGTCCCTTTAAAAATATATCAAGTGACAGAAAAAAACTAATTTATTAAAAACCACATCAAATTTGCATCTAAGCCCGAATTCACATTGAACATTTGGCCATCTCTGATAAATGCCTTTCCTTTTGGCAGCAGCAGCAGCATTTTGCAGAAAAAAAGGTTGATGCTTGTAAACGTGTGAAACACGTTTGGGCGCATCAAGCACTTGGGCATTAATTCATTTTAATGGGCAGAATAATCATTTATCCTGGCCATTGAAATGAATTAATGCTCAAGCAATGAACGCGCCTTTAAATGCGTTTACAAACATCAATATTTTTTTCTGCCAAAACTGATGCTGTGGGGGGTGGGGTGGGGGGGGGTGTTTTCTGCCACAAAACAACACTGCCCCTAAACTCCTCTAAATTTATTTCAGGTACTTATACAGCGCCGTCAATTTACGCAGTGCTTTACATATATAGAATATATATGTAAATACTCTAAATGCGCATAGACATGGTTTATGTCACTACCATATATATTTCAATACCTCTGTACACTGTGTTCCCTGAGAAGCATATCTACGAGTTATTTGGATTTATGTATACTGCTCGCTGACACCACATGCTGTGGAAGGGAGTTCCACATCCTTACCACGCTAACAGTAAAGAACCCCTTATGCAGTTTAAGACTGAACCACTAATCATCTTCTTTAGAGACCTTAGTTTAAGTAGTTTCCTCCCAATGCAGAGCCCCCATTTAACAATTTGTATATTGTGATCATATCCCCTCTTAAGTATCTCTTCTCCAGGGGAATAGGTTGAATGCCTGTAGTAACATTACATTCATGTGATAAGTCCAGATACTGACACTGGCAAAAAAATGTGTGCTCCACGGACTTGCATCACATTAAAAAGACATTTAAAAATAAGCAGAGAACTGGAGTTGTGACTAATAGGAACCAATTTCACCGTTTATTTCAGAGAAACATTAAACAAAAATTCTGATCAATTGCTGTTGTTGTTCACAAGTTCAATAGTGTGTTATTCTTTTACTCTTTAATGTTAAATGATCAGACTTAAAGCTTCTTATCATAATTATGGATTTGAAATGTAGCTACACCCCAATTTCTTTCTATTTCTTTGTAATGGATAAAGTAGGGAAGGTTTAGAATGAGAGTTGACCTTGATTTACATTTCAATTGCAGCCATGTTAGGGTATGTAGGGTTTTGGAGGACATTAGCGGGCTCTGGTCTCCCTAAGATTGAAATCCACTGGATGAAGGTCTAAAAGTAAAGAATCCACAGGGCCAGTGGAAGGCAAAAATGCAATAGATTGCACAAAAATTACTTATTCTATTATTAAAAGTAATAAATAAGAATTGAATTCCTATTCCTGGTTACAAGTTGCCTAGGCTATCCAGAGGCATCTTGGGAGATTTTCAATTTATCTGTACATTTATCACTATATGTATAATAGGTTTAACCTTCTAGCTGTGGATTTGTTATGGTTTAATGGCCTGATGTGTGTTTTGTTGCAGGCATCTACTGACAGAAGATTAGAACAAGGCCATGTCAGTGATTTACAGTGAAGTTGCAGGTGATGAAAACACCAATGACAGCTTCTGGATGGTAAGTGTAGAACAGGGATTCTTAACCAGGGGTAAGCATATCATTTGGGTGTATAGGAACCAAATTGGGATATGGGGCTGGATCTCTGAATATTTTTCAAACTGTTAGGGTAAACTACCCGTGGTGCAGGTACACTTATAATATATTGTCCCCTCCCCCTGCTACCTCTATAGCTTTCATACTCTCCCATCCTCGTTCCAGTGAAATATTGCCGAGGAAGCTCAGAATCCTCTGTGCCAGGTCCACGCATGATCAGTAACTCTCTATTAAATTATATAGGGAATTTGTAATGAAAAAAGAAATACAGAAGATTTTGACAGGCAGCTTCCCAGAGAATATCTCTCTAGATCAGAGACAGAGGAGTAAAAGGTTTGCAGGAAGGGTTTGGGAGGTTCTGGTCTAAGATCAACTTCACAGCAAATACAGGACTGGGATATAAGCAGTAATGGTTATGGAAATTAAACAACCACCCAGATGTTATTGTGTATCAGTGTTGAATAGAAAGTACAGATAAAATTGGAGAGAAGCTTGGTCCAAGAAAAGGTTTGTCCCTCCAAACTTCAGACTTTTTACTTGTTCGGTGGGAGTTGAATGTCATGTATAAAACCAGCAAAAATAACATTACTATACATGACAACTTCCTTGCATCTTTCCTTTGGCACACATTGAATTAAATAGGGTTCAGATTGGAGACCTAAAATTTACTCATGTTCTGTGATCCTGCCTTGAAGTGAACATTTGTCTCAGCCACGGTTCATATATATGCAGTGTGGGAAATGCAGTGAATCCTGAATGTTTCCCACACCGCATTGAAATCACACTCGGGTGTTAATGTTAAATTAATGACACCCCAAAACAGGTCACAAAACACAGTGCTATTGCAAGAATCGGATTGCATGGGTGTGAAAACAATCTGACTTGACTATCATCTCCCCACTGTCCAGCCTAACAACTATGGACCCACAGTGAAGCGGACGGAAGATGGCCACCGACTGTGTGATGAGATCATTGCTTGTTTCCAAGACAGAGCTAAAATAGAGAAACAGTACGCTCTGCAGATGGGTGAATGGACTCGGAAATGGAAACCGCTGGTAGACAGCAGTAAGTAGCTGAATTTAAAGGGACTAAAAGGACGTATCGCCTTCCCATTCAATGTAATCATTTGCTAAATATATTGATAATAAATAAATTAGAGGCCCACTCAATGAATGGTTATCTGCCTGGTATATTAGCGATATTGCTGGTATCCCACTAATTATTTCATAAATTCAGCAATAAATATATACAACAGTTACCCCCTATCACTTTATGTGGGATTTTTAGGGAATTTGGAGACAATATTAAAAAATTGCAAAATACTCTTCATTGTATTAATCTTTTAAAAGTATAAAACATAGTATATTACATTGTTATCCATACAGTATTGTTACAAAGCAGTACACAAGTTTGATATATTAGCAGAGACTCTACACTGAGTACCCAACACGTTTCGAAGACAATAGCTCCTTATTCAGGGGTGACGCTGCATACAATACAGTATGATCTATAGCATGATTGAAAATATAATTTTTAGAACATACAGTATACAATTTACATGTTACAGTCAGGACAAAATGCCTGTGTTTTATATGTGAGAGATGTCACAACTATAATTTTAATTTGCCACTAGGGGTCTCTACTCCTTTGGGTCCTTGTTGGCAGCGCCTGGCACAAGCAGGCCCCTGCCGACGTACTAATCATTTTTTCTAAAGTCTGCTATACTATAAATAGTTTTATTCATATTTTATACTATTTTATATTGGTTTGAGTCACTGGTATGAAAAGTCTGGTGCCAGTCTATCACTCAGTGGTGTTTTAAGGGCATTATATTTTTTACTTTTTATCATGAAATGCTATATAGCATGGATTCTACATGCTTGCAGCCTTTTTGAAATGGGACAACAGCCTAAATGATCAAGGTGATAGACTTGGTGGCCAAACTAATAGACCCCATGCACTGTTTCATTTTATTTTCTTACGTCTTAAATATTTCTTATTTAAAAAAAACATTTAGGAACAACCTAGTAGATCAGCTAGTGCATCTGCCAACCTCAAATCAACTTGATCCTTTGGTGACCTTTGAACCAGGAAAATCAATTTGTTCTTCTCTAGCAGATAAGTGAAAATAAATATTCACATTTTAAAGAAACTATTGTGAGCTCTAAAGATGCTGTCAACTTTTTCTAACTTACTGTAGTTAGGTCTACTAAAACACCCATATGTATATACTGTGTGTATATATATATATATATATACGTATATACTGTGTGTGTGTGTATATATATATATATATATATATATATATATTTCTTTTTTTTTTTATTTGTTCTTAAAGAACAGAAATTTTAAAATAATTTATAGGTACATATTCTGGTATCTTCAGCTCTCAACATCTGGAGATTTGAGTTGCATAGAGTTATTTGATTGTATCTACAGGCCACTGAAAGGCGTTTGGAGTTTGTGTAGGTCAAAAATGTTTACTACCAAAGCAATTTAAAACTAAGAAGTTGCAGGTTTAACTGCGTATTTATTACTTTTTATCTAAAATTTCCCTTCAGTGAACTAAATAAAATGTAAAAGTAATTTGTTCCCAGGTCCCATGTATGGCTCTCTTCAGCGTGCCTGGAAATCATTTATGACAACCACAGAGAAGCTCAGTGCACTACATGTACAAATCCAAAAGACTCTGATGACAGATGACACTGACAGAATACGCAACTGGCAAAAGGAAACCTACCGCCGCAAGATATTTGGTGGCTTCAAGGAGTCTTGTGAGGTGGAGAATGGCTTCCACAAGGCACAAAAACCATGGGCCAAGAAATTAAAGAAGGTAAGAGGCTAATGGTGGTAATGACTAGGAGTTGTAGTTTACACAAGAAAGAATAAATGTTTATTCTTGCTTTTCAACTCACAGAAAGTTTTATGGCAAGATCAACAGTTATTTTCTGTACTTGCTGAAAATGTATTTAGCCTGCAAAATGTAAACTAATGCATCTAAGGACTGGTAAGCTGCAATTTATAAAATGTGTTTAGGTTTAGATATCTTTTACAATAGGCACTGGCATAGTATGCATCAAGAGGAGGAGACTACCTTGGAAACTTCAGTTCTGATTCTCTGCACCAGGGTTGTAAAGAGAGCAGTTTTTTGCATCATCTCTGTTTATTAAAGTTTTATGATACATAGAATAAACGTGTTACAGAAAAGAAGAGAAATTAGTTGTGTTGATGATTTCAATTGCAAAACATTGAGAACAGTACATAATGTGTACACATATGCAAGATAAATAGTACAGTTGTAAAGCAGACACAATGGGAGTTATTTACTGAAACTAAAGAATGCAAAATCTGGTGCAAATCTACATAGAAATCAATCAGCTTTCGAGTTTTATTGCCAGAGCTTAGTTGAACAAGAAGTTGTTCGTTGAAGTTAGAAAAAAGAGAAAACTTCAAACTTGACACTTCAGCACTCAGAAATGGTAGAGGCATCCATCGCATAAACCATAAAATCCATAAAGATGGCAGTGCAGCCTTCCTCAGATCGAAGAAATCCAACACTGCACAGAACACAAACAGTGAGGCCTAGTGCATTATCGCCAGCACTTTATTAAAGGTTATAAAAAACATGTTATATTCAAAAGCCAAGTGAGCTAAAGGTATGCACAAAGAACAAAATCAGGAGGTCCGCTTTCCACCTTCAGTTGGAGACAGGATTACAATGCCAGCTGATGTGTTTTGGGGGGACTAACCCCCTTCCTCACAGCTATGGCGATAGCTCTTAGGAAGGGAGTTAGTCCCCCGAATCACTTTTTTTAAAAGTTATATAGTTAGTGACTCCTGCACTATGTAACTGACTAAGTGCTGGATAACTAAAAATGTGAAAGAGCTGCTGCATGCATCTATGTGTGTTCCCACTCTTGAATCAGATAAATAATGGAGTGTGATGCTGCATTGCTGAAACTATAATAAATACCATGCTAAAATAAGTAAATGTATAACCATCAACCCGTGTACGGAAAACTCATTTCATATGCACAGCAATGCATGGAATATAAACAGGGTGTATATTTATTTCAGGTACTTATATAGCGCCATCAATTTACGCAGCGCTTTACATATATATTGTACATTCACATCAGTCCCCAACCCTCAAGGGGTGTATAATCTAAGGTCCCTAACTCACATTCATACATACACATACTACGGCCAATTTAGACAGGATCCAATTCACCTACAAGCATGTCTTTGGAGTGTGGGAGGAAACCAGAGTACCCAGAGGAAACCCACGCATGCACAGGGAGAACATGCAAACTCCAGGCAGGTGGTGCTGTGCTTGGGATTTGAACCAACGACCCTAGTACTGCCAGGCGGAAGTGCTAACCATTTAGCCACTAAACATCAATATAAAAGCGAAAACAATACAGCTCAGTGTTCAGTGATACTATCCAAAAGAAAAGTGCCTAGTCAATAAGCTTCTAAGTGTCATAAAAATAATAATAATAGTCCTGTGTCAGGATCAATTCACCAAAGGTAAATTCCCACTGTGAAGTTCCACTTCACACACTCTGTGCCACCTCTGTACTCACAGAACTCTCACCTTAAAAAATATGTGATATAGCGTTTATATCATAATCCATCCACCTTTCAGCAATATCCCAATCCTCCTACACCTCAATACCACTAGGGACTCTCTGCTTGGATTTCCTATTGACTTCAGTCATATGTGGGGTGAGGTGCCTTTAAGGCTCTTGCCCATTCATGAAGCCATGTTTGCCTTGCCCATGTGGACAGAAGGGTGGCTGTGGTATACTTGGACAGAGGGGTGGCGGTGGACGTGGTATACTTGGACAGAGGGGTGGCGGTGGACGTGGTATACTTGGACAGAGGGGTGGCGGTGGATGTGGTATACTTGGACAGAGGGGTGGTGGTGGACGTGGTATACTTGGACAGAGGGGTGGCAGTGGACGTGGTATACTTTGATTTTGCAAAAGCGTTTGACACAGTTCTCCACATGGCTAATGTGTAAGGTAAAGTCTGCATGCTTGGAAAAATCTGTATGTAAATGAGAAGAAAACCGGCTAAAGATTGTATTCAGAGAGTAGTGGTTAATGATTCATACTCTGAATGGTCTAGTGTTGTCAGTGGTGTACCCCCAATGTTCAGTGTTGTGACCATTACTTTTTAATATATTCATAAATGATATAGGGTCTGGGATTAAAAATATAATTTCAGTCTTTGCAGATGACACCAAGCTTTGCAGTGGAATAACGTCCTTACAGGATGTCTCCAATTTACAAGCCGACCTCAATGCACTGTTTAATTGGGCAATTACATGGCAAATGAGGTTTAATGTTGATAAATTATTCATTTGGTTTTCTAGTCTGGTTACAGACATAACATCTTTTTTACATTAATAAAATCCTTTACGTGTGAAGAATGAGTATTCTCTTGTTGGAGGTGGTTCTATCGTATTTCTCAGTATTTTGTTGCGTATTGTAAGGGCTCTTCTGTATGCAACTTTGGTCAATTCGGTAATATGGTTTTGTGATGTTTATCTGTTGTTAGTACATGCCAATGCCGTTGTATAATTTTTTCTATATGTTTGTGTTGTACATTGTACTTCAGAATAATGGGTACCAGATCTTGTTGGGAATTTTCTTCCTCCACTTTCCCTGTGGTAATTAATCCATCTCTGTTATATCAGCTACTTCAATAATTTTTTCTCTTATGAACTGCTCTTTGAGGTTTTTATTGGTAAAACAATACACTAGGCGTTTGCACCCTCTCTGTGTTTTAAGCTGAAGTTAGAAGCTGATTAGTTACCATGCACAGTTGCACTAGATTCTGAGTGCTCCAGTTTTAGTAAATACACCCCAATAACTGCTAACCACAACAAATGTTGATGGAGCATTAAAAGTATATCAGTGCATGTACACAATGGGGTACAAAGTTCAAGATTATTGACATTCTCATGAAGGAGAGTCAGAGAATAAGGAACTCATAGATATATGTGAAGGAACATATAAGTAAAAAAACAACTGTGGCTACAGGGTTTAGGTAACAAACAGGTGTGTGATCCATCTTATAATAACCAAAAGGCAATGTTTTGTGATGTTTCATAGAGCTGTATAATGTCATTGGGAGGTATCTCCAAAGAGATCAAGACAATATTAATTTGGGGTGTTGATCTCAGCTATAGAGTGATCCATCTGTAGTTGAGGGTTGTTAGGATCTAGTTTGTCAATTTTCAGTGAGTAACACATCCAGGGAGACCAGATATCACAAAGTAAAGAGAGGATTTTACTTGCAGGGTGCTCCTATCACCTTCTTTCAATATTAAAGTTTTTGAATGGATGTATATATAATTTAATGTGATGTAAAAAACATTACTTGATTGATAAATGAGTTTCTATTGTTTCCTTAACCTTTCTTTCCAGTGTTAAGCAGGTGGGAACAGTAGGACTTGCACTACCCATCAAGGGAGAGCTCCTGAAACACTTCAGAAGTAACATTTAGCTTGAAGAAGCAAATATTACCTAGCTGACTAAATAACTAATCCCAAAAACACAGTAGAATGGGCCTGTACTATGCTATGCATACACACAAAAAATATTTTGACTGAAGAATCTTCACATGTACCCTTAATATAATTTTATCAGTGGTCAAGGTGTGCTCTGGTGGTCTAATGTCAGTCGGTTGGAGATGGGTTTTATAGTAGCAGGCTACTCTTCATTAATTCTATTATGCAGCAATTTTGTTGTAAACTTTCTGCAGCTTGAAAAGGCAAAGTCAGCGTATCACAAAGCATGCAAAAAGGAACATTTAGCAAGCGTCAGAGAGAACAATGGAAAGATCAACCCGGAATTATCTCTAGAGAAACAGAAGAAGCTCACAGAAGACCATGAAAAATGTAAAGAAGACAAAGACAAGGTGGGATGGAGCTAAAAAATTTCACAAAAGCTGTGTGGTCCCATATACAGTATAATGTAAACCATAATCATAACACCTATGTGTCCCTCAGATAAGATTTTGTAATACCCTGTAGTCTTGACCTAGGTGATAATAGCAATATATGGACATTATGCAAAGCACACTAAACAGTTACAACCAATCAAAGGTCATTGTTCAGTGGTATGACTAAAGTTGTGAAAGTGGATTTATGAATTGTCATCTATTTTGTTTAAGATAGAATACCACTGTAAAGTGAAGGGTTAGGCACAAAAAGCAATAAAAACACATTTCCTTTATCAGCCATTGAGGGACACAGGATCCAAAATAATACCATGAATTAAATAGTGCCACCTTCACGGGGAATGGACACTAGACATACAAAACTGTGGACCAGGCCATAGCGCCTAGCACCCTTCCCACACCATCTTAGCTTTTGATTGAGAATCTTCAGGAAAATGGTTCCTCAAGTAAAACGATGGAGGAGGAAAGAGCACAAAGTGTGGTGTAGTATTTTTTGTGATTAAGACATATATGTTACAATTAATTTCTGTCATCCTGAAAATGTATTCACAGTCATATAGTTGCCTTGAAACCAACAACTTGAAACGAATTGTCAGCGACTATCATTTAGCTTGTGGAGAATATTTCTGTCTCCAGACAGACCTTTGGATGAGTTGCTCTCTAGGACTGTTGGAAAGCTCTTGGAATAAATAGACATATGTCAGTAGAGGTTTGGATAGTGTACAAGAATTTCCATGTTCACTTGGGAGGGTGTGTCTGAGGCACTTCTAATTTAACGTTAAGAAAAAAAGATGTGTTCTAGGGCAGCAATGTTGTTTTAAAGTTTGGCTCTTAGAACTGTTTTAAATGGTCATTAAAGGGTAAAGGTGTTTCCAATACAGCCATAGTGCGACATTTCACTGTGCTTCTTCAAAACACATCTTCATTCCACAACCTTAAATTGGGAGCTTTCAGAAATACAGAACTGGGTGCATTGTCCTGTAGGGGACCATTTTTGGTTTGAAACTGCAATTTTTTACAGCCTCAGGCTTTCATCGCTATGAAGACTTCACATGGTCATCCTTGTTCATCACAAGAAAAATGTTCTCCATTGTCTGGATGTTATCCGCACCTCTTGGATCTTAGTTCTAGAACTACTCCTAGGATGTTCAATGCCCTATTTGTTCTTCCAGAGGGCCCTGAGAAAGATACTCTAGCTTTCAGTTCTACCATTTCACAAAGAATCTGTCAAAATATTGTTCATGGGTACACCATGAAGGTTCCCCCTTTTCTTGTAAGGGCTTACTCCACTAGTGCAGTGAGCGCCTCCTAAGTTTTTGATATCGGGCTTGTTTCTCAGGTCTATAAAGCTACAACCTGGTTTTTCTGTTCACACTTTTGCTAAGTTTTATCAAGTGGATGTTTCAGCTTCTGCTAATGCCAGTTTTGGCTGCTAGTTTTGCAAGCAGTCCTCTAAATAGTTTTCTCATACATTTGGTTTAGGTGGAGTGTGTGCTTTTTTTTTTGTTGGGGTTGCCTGCCCGTTTTGGGCATCCAATTTATTATACTAGATTATTTGTCCCTGTTTAAATGATAGAGGAAATGGGAATCTTGTTCTTAATGGAAAATCCCTTTTTCAAAGTTTGTCAAGGGACATATGTCCCTTCCCTCATGGGTTACAGCTATTGTTATTGTACTGTTTGCTACAACTGAAGCATGACTAGTGTGGGAGGTTTCTGTAGATCCCAGTTTTATTTTTCAGGTGTCCATTTATCCAAAAGTAGAGCTATTTAACCCGTAGTATTATATCAGATCCTGTGTTTCTAAATGGACTCAAAAAAGGTATAGCCACCCTGACAGCATTTGAAGCACTGTGTAGATCTTGTAACAAATGCTCAGGTTTTATCTCAGCACTTCACTCCATATTGCTGTCAAAATCCACTAAAGAACATTGTATGATCAAATGTGAAAGTGATCTGACTGAGGAATTAGAACTTGATGATTGGAAGATAGCAGGACATGCTTGCAGATCATATATTATCACATCTATAATAGAAGCCAACTATAAAGCTCTATTTAGATGGTATATGGTAATGAAGAGATTGGCCTCTTATGTCCCTGGAGCCTCAGCTATGTGTTTCAAGGGTGGGCCTGCCCAAAAGTCCAAAGATTTTGGATCAGTGTGCATAATTGTATTTACTTATTAACAGGAACAAATCTTAAAAATACGGTACCTAATAACATGCCTTATTGGGCTGCCCAGTATTGAAGTTTCTAAGATACGTACAAAGGCTGATCTCCTTTGTATTTATAGCTGCACACATTGGTATAGCTAAGGATTGGAAGTCTTCTACTATTCCTTTTGATATGGTCAAGTCTAAACTATCCTGGATAATGAGAAACTCCTACTATCTTCAACGATAAGATGACCTGGACCTTGAATCAAATATGTATCTTACAGGAAACACCTAGTGCCCACATCTGACCCTTGTGACGATTTATAATGTATAATGGTAGCAAAAATTCCATCTTCTCTATTCTCTTCTTACATTTTACCCACCCCCTTTTTTTATGTGAACTGTACATTCACCCCCAGACTAATCCAGTAGGACACCATGCTGGATGATGGGGAGTGCTTTCTTTTGTCTTTTTTTTTTGCCAGTTGTCCTTGCCAATTTATAGTGATGTCTTCCAAGACAGAAACCACTCCAAGTCCTGTGCTTTTTTTTTTTCTGGGGGCTGCCCCTGGTCCCAACTCCATCATACCAGGGAATGGTAGGGACTGGAAAGTGATCTCCACAATTAAACTCAGATCCCTGACCATAAGATTTTATATAGCTAGCAACCTTGTTGTTTTTGGTTAAACAGTTTTAATTTGGTAAATGCAATACTGTATGGTTTCTGTAAGAGCTTGTACTTTTATACATAGTATACATACCTTAAAAATTATAATAAAAACTAATGAAAAAGAAAATAGATAAGGGTAGGACCTTAGATGGACCTGAAGAAAATATCCTGTGTCTGTATATACCTTTGTTTGCTTTTTGGCAATTCTAGTTATGGCTTGCAACACATTACAATGCATGCTGGACTTTCATATACACATTTATTGAACTTTATTATCTTCATTATAACTGGTGTAGGTGAAGCAGAGGTACGAGAAAGCCTTGCAAGAACTCAATAAATATAATCCTAAGTATATGGAAGAGATGGAAACTGTGTTTGACCAAAGCCAGCAGCTGGAGCAGAAGAAAATACTCTTCCTCAAACAAGAACTGCTATCAATACACAAACACCTTGACATTACCAATAACGAGAGGTAAGCTGTCAGAAAGTGGGAGTGGTACAGGCAGAGAAAGGGCTGGTTACATTTGGTATCTAAATTAGAAGCTAAATGACCTGTGGTTCAGCTTCACACACAATGCCAAACTAATTATTTGTTTCTTCCCTAGGCCAGCCATTTTGTGCCACCTATCCTACCCTACCGCCTTCCACAAACACACACTTAGCACCAAAACAAATTTACTAAGACTTCCAAAATAGTAACTATAGTAAGATTATATGTCATAGTTGCAGAGGTTTATTCAAAATGAAATGGACATAGTGAGAACCAGTAAGGCCCCATTCACACTCGGAAATGGGGCCAATACCCTTTACATGGAGGAGACCCAGTGATTAGCTGCTGGCAGCAGCCCCCTTTGAAAGTTAAAGGAGGTTGATAGCTCCTGCAGTTAATTATGCCTACTCACCTGTACTGTATATATATTAATAAGGAGTGCAGCGCTATAAGAAAATCACAATAAATATGCAGACATCATTAGTTGTACAGTGCATTAGGTGACTTGAAGTGACTTGAGGTATTCTTGTGTAACTATATCCTCCTACGGGTGAAGTGCTTTGATATTACGTGCGGAAAGAATGCGCACTCACCAGGACGTACAATTTAATGAGCGTTTAAAGTATATATCCTGATGTCATCTGCCGGTCCAGAGAGTGATTAGAATGCAGTGAGTTTCCTCTTACGGTCCTAGATATGAGCAATAGGATATCAGGGTGGTCGGGGCTTCCCTGAGATGGTAGCTCGGGTACTGCTTCCTGGCTGTTATAGATGATCCCTCTCCAGTGGTCAGGTGGATGGCTGCAAATTAATACTCCACAAGGGAGTCAAAGCAGAGACATCTCCATAGTGTAGTATATTAAATTTAAATTTATTGGAGCATATGCAAATATTCACTTGTAATACACGAGTACAGTGCAGTAAGGTAATGTGGATTAACCGTCCCATGTATAAGATGGCCGCCGGATCTCCACGATGCTCCGGCGGCGTGACTGGCTCCTCCTACGCGTTTCGTGCACACGCACGTCGTCTGGGGGGAATTGCCAATAACGCTGAGCCGTGTGACGCCAATTTATATGCTGGGCGCATGTGTGTTTGGAACATGCCATTTTACAGGAGACCAAATCTCGTGCGCCGGAGCGACCATGCAGGCGCCATTTTCTTTAGGTCTTTTGTGTCTGAATATTATACATTGGCAGTTTTCAATGTTAGGATATATGAGTCATAGTAGAAGTGACTTATTCTCCTGCGCCAATGTAAAAAAGAGTGCGCTATTCTCTTTGTATAATGATGATATCAGATCTATCTATGTATATTATTTATGTAAAAATCGGGAATATTTCATAATAAAATAATATGAGTTTAGATGAAATAATTAAACAATCCGCTACTAAACTAGATATTGTCTAAAAAAATACATATACAGTAGGTTTCCAATAAAATGACGATAGCATATAAATTGTGCATGATGAAAATTAAAATCACGTAAAAAGATATATAAATAGTATATATTCAAATAACATAATAAGTTGATAACAACATTATTCATGGTTATTTAAAATTTATAGATATGTATATTATTAAAATTATTTAACAATTTAAACACACTTTGATGATATCATGATATAGTCAATCAGTAGTGAAAAAAGGAGCACATAAAAAACTAAATTATGATTGTATTCTAAAATACATGGTAGTACCTATCTGGACAGGATATAATATATATATATATATATATATATATATAATGTGCTTTTGGGTTTAGATATGTGACAATAGAAATGATTTAAAGTTTGTAATCTATTTCTTAAGTAGCATGTTTGAAGTTGGCATGAACAGTAACCGACTTTGTTGTATTTCCAGCATTATGGCTGTCTATGGTGACTTGAATCAGGCCATTATGACTGTCAGTGACCAGGAAGATTTGAAGTGGTGGAGGAACAGGCATGGCCCTGGAATGTTAATGAATTGGCCTCAAATAGAGGTAAGCTGTAATGATTTAGGGCTAGATGGTCATTTTTGTATTGTGTTACTGCAAACATTGATATAGCTACCACTGTCTCCCTATGTATTTCAGGCTGCCCAAAAAAAGGGAGCTTATATGAGCTGCTAAATAGATTTCAGTGATTTTCATTGAAACCTATATATACACAAATATAAAAAAGTAATGGTGATAACTCATTTGTGAGGCCACCCATCATAATCACTGGAACGTATTGAAGTGGGTTGCAGACTTAAGTTTTTATCTACAGATGTTTGAATTATGCATAACAAAGCTCTTTAGGTTTTAGGGTGCCCAAAGAGGTAAGCAGACACCCTTGAAGTCGTCTACCAAATATGTACTAAATATGTACTGTATATGGAGAAACTGCAACATTTAAAGTGAACACATGTTCACTTTATAGCTCTCTTTACAGTTTAGTAGAAGACAAATTTGTGAAGCAAGGGAGCAGAGAAGGTAAACATTATATTCAGTTCTTCCAGAAATTAACGTTTTTATGTATTTTTGACAGCCTGTCCTAGTTCCAGCCAAGTTTAGTCTTTAATGCTGCTTTCCAGTCACTACACCTGCAGATTATCTTATGTAAAAGCTAGGTATAATGCACTAAATACCAACTACTGCCAAAAAGTTGTTTTTTTTTTTATATTTATTATAGTCCAGCATTTTACATGAAAATATCATAACATTTTATACAAAATTCTGTTTACAAAATTAACCAAGACAAATTAACTACTCTTTCCAATAAGATAGAATTCTGGAAATTCGTGCCTGTATTTGACTCAAAAACTATTAAAATAATTATCCATTTCCTTATTTAGTTACGTGCCAAAAGCCTATAGTATTCCAGCAATAAAAATCTTGAAATCTGTTATGCAATATTGTTAACTTTTGGTATATTTATAGCAACCCATCTTTTCAGCAAACCCTGAAGCATAGTTAAGATTACCAAGATTATAACATTTCCTTTTTTCTTTTGAGTGGTGGGTAAAAAAAAAAACATGGTCATTTCAGGGGTTAACATTATGTGCCTCCCAGCCATATCATCTACTCATACCACAACTTTATTCCGACACTGTTTTGCCAATCTACAACTAAATAACATATGATTCTGGTTTGGATTAGCACTTCAAAAGGTGAGTATTGCTGTCCACTTTCCACTCATAATATATATGTTACAGTGGAAATAAAAGCCCTGTTTACCAATTGCAAGAATACTTTAAAGTTCACTTCCCAGAATTGTTTTATACACCTTTTTTTAATCTTTTTCCCAAGTTAAATACAACTTTTTATTGTAATGTCCCCTTACTTTTTTATGGTTAGCATTAGATATTAATTGATATAAACATCTAATAGGAAGCTTTTCCCATAGTCCCATCATTGTCTGGAAGATTTTCCAGTACTAAACTCAATTTGCAATAGGTGTCCCAGCAATCAAATTTTATCTACTCTAAATAATCTATTACTACATATACTGCATAGCTTTTTTGTTATACCCACAATCTCCCTTGAATCTTTATTTCCAATAGCTTTTTATTGAAGTTTTAAGTACAAAAAGATAAAGTCACAGAGATTGCATTAGCATAGGTAGTAGGTGCAGCACTATTGAAGAAAACAGCAGTTCTTGTAAACAGCAGATGAAGTCAAAGGAGATTACTAGACTAAAGATGGATACATATGGATCAAAATTCGGCTGGTTCAGCAATTGTGTGTAGCCCTCCCTGTTCTACAGAAGCTGATTGTTTTGTGGATGGAGGAATCTGGCTGAATGAACAAAAAATGAGCAGTGTGTACGTAGCTTGAGAATAAACTTACAGCCAATATTGTTGCTGAGTATCAAGTGATTTCATCATGGGGGTGTAGGAAGAGGGAAGTAGGGAGAAGTACTGGGGTCAAGGCATGATAGAAGGCAGGGAGGGGGATTGAAGGGTACTAAAACAAGGGAATCAACGAATGAAACAAGAAGTTGCAGTTGGCAAGGAAAGGCAAAGTCCATATATGTCATCATTCTTATAGTATACAATCTGGGTTGTTCGACCATATGGACTAAGATAGAGCACATTTTTTTTGTATAATTTTCTAGAAGCCAGTAATTTTCAATTTCACATTGGTGGTTTAGATCTCTAAGAGTGACAACTTGACTGGGCTATGTAATAATCTGCTAAACTGCTAATTGCTAAAAGTAGGTGGATGACTATGAATATGGAGTTGGGGGTAGTTGTTCAATATCTAAATGTAGTAATGCAAGGGCTGGGTCAGGCGATGTCTGCATACCTATTTTATTAGAGGCTAGGGAGAATACACAATTCCATTGGAGTGAAACAATGAAGTTTCTCCACATAGCCGACAACACTTAGAAAATTGTGTTGGGAAAAATTTAGATAACTCATAAGGGGTGAAGTGCCAACAATGGAGTTTTTTAAATGACATGATGTTTCCTTTTTATGAAGGAATTTCCAATGGTTCCAGTGAATGAAAGGGGCAGGCCAGAGACAGTAAGGCTGGGGAGTATGGTGGATCTCCTGCAATCATAAAATTAGGCAGATTCTATCTGACTTGCTGCAGCTTCTAATGCACACTGTGAGACGTGGAATGCAGTGAAATTAGAGTGAGCATTTTCAGTACAAGAAAGAAGCCTGCAAAACTGTGCAGGACTGAAGGTTAGGTTGAAGTTCAGCTTTATGAGTCACAGACTTGGAAAAATGATGCAGCAGTGACATCAGAACTGTGATCTCCATATATGTCCTTGGTCAGAAACTCAAAGTATGAAAGCCATTGGATCAGGATGACAGCTCCCAGTAAAATCAGTTCCTATATCTCTGTTATTATGGATTTCCAGAGAAAATTTCTCCTCCTGAAGCACGACATAGTACTTGCAATACACTGAATGTCTCGAGACTTGAACACTTTATTAGAAGTTGGCAGAGAAGTAAACGCTGCGTTTTTCCCAAAAACAAGAAAAGCCAGTGCCATAATTCTTAAAACACAAGAAGAGGGACAGTGGACCAGGGATCATTCCTGCCATTTTGACCATAACTAAAGCTAACCCCCATAGCACTCTGTGTGTAACAACACTAGTCCTAAATATCTTAGGCCAGATATGAATAGGAGGGAAATACAATGTATATCAACCTCCAATTTTTATAAAAATATATATTTTTCATCACAAAAACATAACAATTTGTTTCACTGCAGGAGTGGAATCCAGACATTGAGCAACAGATAGTGAAAAAGAAGAAAGTGAAAGAGGATAACGTGAAATTACACAGTGTGACCCCTACTGAGACCAGGTGAGACAAATCTGATAATAGGTGTCTCTTCTAGACAATAGGATGATGTTTTAAAACTAAGGTTCAAACTTGTTCTCAATTAAGCAATGTCAAATCCTTAGCAAGAAAGCACCCAAAAGTGATATTTCTGACTTTGGTAAGTGCTGGATAGTTGAACTACCTGGCCATATCAGTGGCCGTTACAAGATGATCCCACTCTGCTTGCTGAGAGCAAAAACACACAGAACACCCTCATATACAGGAGCAAATTCAAGAATCATGTCAGTGAAATCTTGTTTTTGTAGTATCCAGGACATATGAGAAGTCAGGGGCTGACCCAGACCACCAGAATTTGTCACATCTGGTTGGATTGATTCTTTAATATAGTAATGCATACATAAGCTACTGTCCTGACTGACTGTAATTAGGCACCCAAGTCGGTGTGTACAGATCATGCAAGCTCTTGGACAAAGGCAGCCTGTCTTTGATGGAGTGATTTTCTTTCCTGTAACCCTGGGTTTCAGGAAAGAACATTGATTGAATCCCCCATTAACAAAGTCAGTGGGAGGTGGTGGGGCGAGGGAAGCAGTCCACACTGAGAGAATGCAGTGATTACTGCTAGCAGCTATAATAGCTGTCAGCAATAATCACATGTACAATCCAACAGGCTGCTTGTACCCAAGTTGATCGATTGATCAACTTGGGTACATTCAGCCTGCCCATACATGGTTCGTATCTCAGCCAGTCCCTGCTGAACCGGTAACGATTCAAACCATCTATGGCTGGCTTTAGTCCAAGCACCTGCATCATCTTTACATACCTACTTTGGTTCCAACTTACAGTTCAGGAAGGTATCCCTTATCCTGTGGTTATTGCTTTACAAGCCGTAATGAAGGGGGAGTGTTGAGCACCCAAGATGCGTTGGATTTTTTTTGCAGAATAAAATATTTTATGGATTGTACAAATTAGTGTGGCACTCCAAGTTTTTCAATCTTTTTTGTAAACTCCTCCAAGGATCCAGCAGGACATCATAGTGGTTGGTAAGCAGTTTCCAAGACCACACATTAATTTTTATATATATATATATATATATATATATATATATATATTACAACAAATCACCACAAAGTTCAATGCTCCTATACCACCAAAAGACAGTAACGAGTAAATCAAGGACTCAGCAATCTCACGAATCAGGTGGTTAGAAAGAAGTCACAGCACTGGCCACTTGCGCTCGCACTCTACACTCAAGGGGGTTGGTAGCTTTATTAAACCACTATATCACCAAAGGTGAAGTTTTCTTTTAATATCAAATTGTTCTGATGGTATCCTAAAAGACATTCAGTTGCTTAGATCTCATCATTTGTCACCCAACATTGCAACCAGAGAAGTAACATCATAAACCCCATCATACAGGTACCTATAACATGAACTCTATGATTGGTTTACAGTATGAATCGACCACCAGTAAATGTGCCAGGGGTCCGCGTTCGAGCTGTGTATGATTATTCTGGACAGGAATCTGATGAGCTCAGCTTTAAATCAGGTAAGAACTTCAACCTAGTAGTTTTTAACCTTGACAATGTCAGACCTCTATTTTTCTGTACTGCAGATAATTGTTTATCAATGTAATTAACATGCTGCCTGCAAATGAAAGTAAAAGAACAAACAGGCCATTAATACCTATCCCAGCTGTTCTTGAAAATGGCGCGTGTTCAGGCTGCTGGAAGACTACAACACTCTAAGCATACAGTAAGCATAAGTCACATGGTGTCATGTGAGCCTTCATAATAGGAATATTGAGTATTTTCTCAGCTCCTGATGCCTGAAGGAAGCAATAGGTGACTGGAGGAACATTAAGTATATGTTGCTGGGGAAGAAAAAGAAAATCATAGACTTCAAGCCGGACACACACAATACAATCTAATTGTAATTAGTAATTATATTACTATTTATGGATGAGTTTATACAGCATCAGCATTAATCACCATTCTGTGGAACTTACACAGAGTTTTTCACCGGATGCTGAATAATCAAAACTGTATGAACAACCCCTTCTTTTTCCAATTTCCTTGTGCAACCTTGTGGGGAACCAAGCATACTGGGAAAGTTAACCTGATGAGAAATATTTCTGATTGGGGAATTTATTACCATTACTTCTGCAATTTCTGAGGAAATTTCTGTTAAAGTGAACACTGTTGATTTTATACAACTGTTTAAGGTCAATGCTCACATTACTCTGGCAGTAACTGGCAACTTTAAATATTTTTTTAATAACTGGAGTTGGGATTTAAGTATAAATTGTTCCACGGTACCTGTAGCTACATGGGTCAGTGAATGTTTGTTTTAAAATTATTTTCTTGCTTATTAAGACTGTATAAATACATGGTTATCAGTAGTCTAGCCATATAGAAAGGGGATGCCACAGCTGCCAGTTGAAAAGACAATATTTTTTGTAAATAAAAAATAATATATATAGTAAGTGTATGTATAGCCAGATGTTTTCTCATCCTCACTGGGTTGATTAACCTTATTTGTTCTGGTGACCATTTTCACCAAGACAGAAAGTAATGAGAAATAATGGCAACTCTATACTTTAGAGTTTTCACTAGAACAAAAGGTATAATAGTTGGATCAAAGATTTGTAGCACCACACCAAAATGTTAAAATCCAAACGGAAGGTTTTATTCCAAACATGTAGTGAACTCGATAGCTAACATGTTTCAGGGGCTTCAGCGTGCCCCCTCCATTAGGGCTTACCAAAATGGTTTTTGGAGGACTCGAGCTGGAAATGGGATCAGGTTAATTGTGCACTAAAAGTCCTGACCCGCTTCAGCAGCTCATGAATGCAGCAATTTTTTTGGAACCAAAGTCTCCATTTGGATTTTAACATTTCAGTGTGGTGCTTCAAATATCTGATATAGTTATTACACCACTTTCCCAATGTTTCTCGCAGAGGTCTCTCATTGTATGGAAGCAGCTAACACATCACCCCAATGCCCCATTGGGATAATTGTAGTAGAGTATTGTGACAATAGCAATCATAGGTACCGATGCCATCAAATCCACCACACCAGGACAAAAAGTCAGGGTACATATTGCCATGACAAATGAAGGGAATTCCTCTGACTTTAGAGACTTTTTCTCACGTTCTGTTGTGTCTCTGGAACAGGAAGTAAAGGGAATTTTCTCCAGTGGGACAGAGACAACAGAAATAGGCTGACAGGGTTTTAAATCTTCCTTGCTCTCCCCAAAACAAACAAAAAAAAAAAAAAAACACACTGTGTCTATACAAATACATTTTTTTTTGCTGTAGACAATGGGACTTTAAGGACTCATGCCCACTGGACTTTTTTAACGCTGCTGTTAGGGCATCTGGCATTTTTATATTGCCTATAAATGCTCTTGCATGTTAACCTATCTGTCCATGTACACATAGGCGTTTAGAAGCAGGGGCATTTAGAGGAAGAAAAAAAACAAAACACTGCCAGCACATTCAGGAGCAACAGTGTTTTGGCAGAAAAAAATGCTTGAGGTGAGTTAACACTACATGCGTTTAGCATTTGAGGGCAATTCATTTTAATGACCAAAATAAATTATTATTCTGGCCAAATAAATGCATTAGCACCTAACTGCTTGATGCATCTAAACATGCCTGAACATGTGAAAACACTGCTGCCAGGAGAAAGGCGTATAGGAGAGACCATGAGGCCTAAAAGTGCCAGGAAATTCAAAACTCAAAAAATACTTAAAAGATACTTTACACATTTAATGTTGCCTACAACAAGAAACCTATTTGCATACTATATTTTGGTATGTAATGCTTCATTGACTTCCCTTCAGCTTATGATCTATCAAATTATGTCTATATATATGCTTGAAAAGCAATTACTAAAGATAAAATCACACATATAATAAAATCCTAATGCTACAAGGAATTTAATAATACACTTTTTAAAATCACAATTACATTCAGCCATAACAATGGTTTTTTATTTAATGAAATTGATGCAAATATGTTTTAAAGAGATACAGGATAACTAAACGTCAAAAGAGAAGGAAAATAACTAATTCATTATTTAGACATATTGCAAAGATATAAGCAAGGAGAAGCAGTTATGACAGAAGAGACCAAAAGGCTCTCTTCTGCCTTAAAAATCCTATATGTCACTGTGTACTGTATATTGATTTGCACATTAAAGTGACTCAATTAAGCCAAAGTTCCCTTTTTTGCAAAATAAGCACCCCAAGGTAATCTCATTTTTTGACACAATTTTTTTTAAATGAAGAAACATGCCGATATTGAAGTGGCTAAAACACGGTGCTTGGTAATGGCGCACTAAATACAGCACATAATTATTGTACAGGTCATATACAGAGGGAGGAGGTGGTGATGTACAGATCACATACAAAGACAGGCTGGAGCTGGGATGTACAGGAGAGGAAAGTGATAAAAGGGTTAAAAACAACTCCAAAATCAAATCAATACAATGAATCTGCTACTATGTTCTACTGATGAATGATTCATTCATTCCTTAATGCCTAAGTTGTAACTGAGGAAGAGCTCTCAGATGTAAACACCAGTGCGTGTACATTTGTGATTTCTGTGATTGGTCATTACAGTGATCACATAGTACAGGGCCACTCCGATTGGCTCTGTACACTGTGCCTGTGATCTGAGCTTTCCGGTGATGGATCAGATCACATTCATTCATGGGTGCACTAGACCTACGTGTGTGTTTTTTTTGAGTGACATTTATAAACAGCACTCCAGAAATACACGTCACCTCCCTGCAATTTTGGCGGGAAGTGGCTATTGTAGCCAAGTTACAAGTTATTTTAGCCTTATTAGTGCACTTGCAACAACACAGTTGAATACTGCCCATGACACTTTTTTATTTACACCAACAGGTAATTTTTCAGGACAAGTTCGGGGGGGGGTCCCGCTTTCTTCTTGGTCCAAGCAGTACTGAAGGTTTAGCAGAATAATAAGACAAATCAGCAGAGGCAACAATTAAAAACAAACACATAAAGTACTGTACTAGATAATCAAGTGAGAATATTTCTGTAAAAATATCAACAAGATACCAGGTCACATCTCTGTAATATACTGTATACATTACTTAATTCGAAATCTGACAAGTTGCCTTATATGACAAGATGGGAATGAGATTTGGATGAGGATCTAGATCCCAATGAATTGCACAAGCTAGTCCTTATGGCCTATATAAACACCTCAATCATAGAAGCAAAATATAAAGTGTTATTAGGATGGTACATGGTACCCACATAAATAACTTCTTTTGCTCCAAGTGCTTCCCCTAAGTACTTCACGGGGTGCAAACAAGAACAATATATATGCTGGACATATCCAAAGATCAACATATTTTGAATCAAATTTATAATTTTAATTACACCTTGACACAGATTAATCTTAAAAAATCCCCCTGGCAAGCCCTTCTAAACCAATCCATTGAGGATGCACCCAAACATAGTAAAAAATTGATCTTGTCTACCTTTCTAGCAGCCATTGTAGCTCAGTGGTGTAGTGTGTCGGGGGCAGCCGTTGCAGACGGCCCGGGCACAACATTTGGAGGGGTGCAGACAGAGCACTCACAGACATGGAGCTAGGCTAGGCATGTCACCATAATGGAAAGTCCAGGGTCGAGGTGGATGGATGGAGTGGCTGTATAAACACAGGATGCAGATTCGCTTGGACACTGTGACCACTGATATTGCAGTGCCACTGGGACAGGGATCAGTGAAGCCTGGAAACTTGCACAAGCTGATGAAGTAGATTACTCCTAGTTTTATCAAGCCTCACGGTGGTGCATTCAGGTGAGTAAGGCTCTCTCTGATGGCGGGTTCCAGTCACTACTGAGCCCAACGGCTCTAGAGCATTCACGGTCACAGCGTCCAAGCAGCTCTGCATCCTTTATTCAAACAGCCATCCATCCACCTTGGCTCTGGAGTTACCATTATGGAAACATGCCTAGCCCAGCTCTACGACTGTGTGCTTATTTATTGTATTTATATCCATCTTAAGAAACCACACTTACTACATTAGGCTCCTTTCTCCTATGTTCTATCTATTCTTTCAGCTGATCAGCTCCCCAAGCCAGTTTAGAAGAAGGCAGCCCAGTGTCAGCCAGTTTGTAGCTTTTCTGTGCTAGCTTTAGGCCCCTTTCACACTAGTGGTCCGATTGGGTCCACATGTCCCTTTTTTAGGTGGACCCAATCGGACCCTCCATTCCCCTCTATGGATGGGTGGGTGTAAATGGACATGTGTCCATTGCGCCCACCTACATCCAATCCGCTGAAAACAGACAGATGTGGATCCATTCCCCTCCATCTGGGCTGTTTACATCTAACCACCCATAGAGGAGAGAAGGCTGTGTCCATGTCCTCTCTGTATAAGCAGACTGGATATAGACCTGCCATCTGCCTGCTAGACAGGGGATCAGCTGACAGATCCCCTGCTGAGCAAGCAGAGTCTGCCCCATGTGAAAGGGGCCTTAAGCTGTTCCTCCAGGATTCTTCTAGCTT